GATGATTATTATTATATAAAAAAAATTATACGCATTGTTTATATAAATTAGCTAACATTTTTAACAAAAATATCAATTTTATAAATAATCGAATTTCAATATTTTTCTTTGAAAAAAAATATATTCGTGAGCTCCATAGCTGAGAATAAATTTCAAAAGTTTATGAATTAAAATTCACAAGACACAAGTTTGATATTTTTGTTAAATAACTGATCAGAAGGCTTATAGTTTATTTTGTTACATGGCTAAAACAAACGTCGCTACTTCGTAATAAATGTGTAAATGTTAGCTAATTTATATAAACAATGCGTATAATTTTTTTAATAGTATTCATCGAAATTACATACAATTAAAATTACGCTTTTTCTTTTACTAACCCAGCATAGAAAATTCCTATTTTAGTATTTATTTCGCGTTAGGTAAATTCAATTCAAACTTCATAAATAACATTCTGATATGTCGGTAATAAATTCGAATGTACATTTTTGTGTCGTATTTTGTTAATATGCCGTCGCCACAAAAAATAGAACATATTGATAAAAATTCTAGCCCTATATAGGGGCAATGGAAACACATGGAATGTTCTATTATACTTATAGTTTTTTTAAATCAATCAACTAAATCCATCAACTGAATCAAGGGAAGAATAATCGGTCTTTCTGAATTCTGATTTGTGGTACTGATATTTTTGAAATATACAAGTTCGTGACATTTATGAATCTGGTCAGACTGAATAAATGTGGCATAACATTCAAAATCAAAGCTCTCTCAGCGTGTCAGGAAAAGAACATTACGACTATATTTACAAAGAGGGTATTACTAGCTGTGGTAGTCTCTTCCATCTGAGATACGTTAGTCAGAAAGAAATCGTTTACTTTTAGCGCCTCTCAAGGAATATGTTAATTAGCTATAAATTATGCAAAAATCATTGATTATGGGCTCCAGAAAATCTTAACTCGCGCCAAATACAGGTTGATACCCGAAGGTTTTTCTTCAGATCTTCTGAAAATAAGTATAAATCATTACAGCCAAGCACATTTCAGCGTAATTTTAGGTCCCCATCTTCGATTTTAGTGTAATTTTGTAGACCGAACAAGAAGCAAAAACCGGTTTGCCGTCAAGTCGCTGTCGTTTATTCACAATTTATTCAAATGCTCTTATTTTTTGGATAAGAGAACCTGAATTGTATCTTAACTTGTTGATCTAGTTGAAATTTGGAAATAGTCAGGCGTTTTGACACAGCGCGGCTCTACACTTTACCGAAATTCAACCTTCGATTTTGCTTGAAATTAGCTCTACACGGGTAAAATGAGTTTCGGCGTCTAGCGAAGCCATAAAAAAGAATTTTCAAAAAATAAATTTATTTTGCACACTTGTATACCAATGCCTTTCAACACACAAAAAATAAAGGAAATCTATTTTCCGAAGTCAAAGTCATCGGACCGCTATTAGCGGGACTGCCACTTAATATGCATGTTATATAATATATATTTGTATAGTAAATTAGGTTGGGTTTTTTTTCCTCTTTTTTTTGAGGGGGTGCGCCTAGCATGGGTCTCGTTGTCCCGTTTGCGCTATCCCCTTTGGACTTAAACTTGTAAACTGTTTCTACAATATTTGTCCAATAAAGCTGATAAATAAATCTTAGTAAGCCCCCCTTTCGTGATGGTCCTTTCACAGGCGAATTTGTAAAAAAAGGCCATAGTATCAACTGCAATCCTCGATAATTTTAAACTCATTTGCGACCCAATCTTTGGAGGCAGACAGTCTTTAGTCTATGTTGGTCATCGGTAGTCGGCTTTAAATCAAGCATAAGATATCGGGGGGATGGGACTTCAGCGACGCAGCCAGGATTTCAAGCAATTTTACCGCCCTGACCTGCGTTACTTTGAATAGTATGAAAACGTATCTGAACGCCCACGCTACCATGCATAATATAGTACAATAAACATTTATGGTGGGGGTCCGGGGGTAGGGTAAGCCAGGAAATTTTTAAAATTTATGAGACGGTCAAGTGCCATTTTCGGCATTTTTGTTTGCGAATATTTTAAATAACATTTTTTCATTATAACTAAACAAAAAGTTAATAAACTCAATTCCATGCATGCTTAAAGGAACTCTTTCTCGACAAGTGGTTTCGCATTACATTACGATTCAATTTTTCTAATGTAAATATTGCGGCGAGTATTTACCCCCCCCCCCCCCCGCCCTTGGCTTTAAAACAAAACTCACCATTATAACCTCTAAATATAACCTTTCGAACGGGGGGTCAAGTGCCGTCAAAACATTACACAAACCGAAACAATCATATATTTGAAGCGCCAAACATTCAAATGCGAAAAGGAAAAAAGTTGAATATCTTCTAAACTTTTCGTCATTTTCTGAAAGGCTATATATGTGTAAAATACTCTTTGTATTCAAGCGCTTTCGGGTAGAAAGTTTCGTATGAAAACGGCGAGTAGAAATATTTATTTTGAATTTTTCAAGGTATCGAGTTTACTCGCACGCGCTTGTATTACGTAATACATGGGTCTCTGTAAAGAACGGAAACCGAAACGACCGAATCCGGAAACGACCGAAACCGGAAATTCCCGCCTAAATTTCCCGCATAACGAATAATTATATTGTTGATGCTCGATCGCTGACATAACATTTAGATAAATATCGTCCGAAAGTAAGGTTGTATACTATTTAACTGCTGACAATTTGGTCAATTATTTAATAATCTTACCGCATAGTATCAACTTTCTGAACAATGCCGGTTCATGCCGGTTTTGTTTAATTTATAATAAAAACGATATTGCATTCACTTTCTCATTTGACATACGATACAGCTTCCACTAAAATGGCACGCTCTTGATTTTGAAAAAATTAAATACATGCTCATTTAGACGTATTCCAAATCCCAATTTATCTGACTGCATTTTAATAGCTTCAAATATTCAGAACATTGTTCTTTCAATCACAAGTAGTACACGTATTATTGCATTCAATGGTAGTATTTTATTCGACTTTTAATTTGTATGTGTATTGATTAACTCGTAATGTATTATCTGCAGCCTATATTTAATATATTGCGCGGCTTGTTATTAAATGCTTCGTATTATTGTTCATATATACATTTCTTTATCCTGATGATGATTGAAATATAGTCGAAACGTTGATAAATATAAAAATGTTATCGATCTTTGGAGTTTACACACTTGTTTTATATACATTTCGTCGTTGTACATTTCACGCCTTGCGTCAATTTGATAGTTGACAGTCTTTGTTTATTATATGAATAAAACGCATGGTTCAGAGCACAGAAGAGATAAGAGCAGAAGGTTCACTCAAGGGTAAAAAGTGTGCCAGAATGTCAGCCGACTTCCGGTGTGGCCGCCATGTTGAAAGCAACCAAACCAGAGGAAATTTTATAGGAGTTAATATGGCGGAATACGAAATAGAGCCACTAAAAGTGCTCTAGCTTTTTATGTATCCAAGCAAAACTCATGATACTTTGAAATATCATAAAGAAGAGGTTGTTCTTTGATTTAATTGTCACTACGAGGATGAGAAACGAATTTAAGCGTGGAATTTGGCCATTGTCATACATCGATTAATTTCACCTCGGTCTTTGGCGAATAGTGATAAACATATAAAGTTATATAGCTTATGTGTGGTTAGCCTGATCGCCGTAAAATATGTTTTGGGTGATAAGTTGGTGATGTTTCATGGTGTACAAAAAGATTAAGGACGTGAATGCCATGAACAATGAAGGAAATAAATCCAGTTCATCGGACCTTCTGTGAATCTGTGATCAACTATTCAATACAGTGTAATTCAACTTGGCATATTG